CATATGAGCGATATCGGAATGGTGATCAAAAGGAGAAAGTACAACATGCGTTGCAGTTGCAGCCCAACGAGATGGGGACGTCCCGAGCCGTATGCTTGTGCACATAAGGTATCGAGCGAAGTTGCTAGACCCTGGTATACTGCATAGCCCGTAATCGATGCCGTCATACTCGCCAGACTCACAGCTCCTAGTTCGGTTTTGCCAATGTGTCCGACGGTAAAGATACTCGCTACCGGCAAGCTATACTGTAGTAGGAATGTCAAGATGAGCGGTGCGGAAGTCTTGGTCAAGACTTTAGCCTCTCGCTGCCAGCTCGTGTTGATTTTCCCTGCTGCAACCGCCTCGTTCCATTTTTTGTTGATTGTCTTGGGTGAGTCCAAACCCCCGTATGGTTGGTTTGGATCACCTTCAGATGCCCCCAATAGCGCTGTTCGCTCGGAGGGTGATTCGACCGCGCTTTCCTCGTCTGGCGTGCTCTTGATTTTTCGCAGTCCCGAAATTGACATTCTAGATCGCACTCGATCAAAGGGTCCCTCGCTTCCAGCCCTTGGGTGCTTGGGCGGAATCAGATGATTGTCGCGGAGCAGACTCCGCTCTTCGTCTCGCATGGTCTCCCTCTCTTTTTTCGACAGATGACTGTGTTTCTTCCATGACGTTGGTAGATGACTCCTTTCGGGTACGCTGGAAGATATTATGGCGGTGGATCGTGATCCTGGGTTGACCCAGGAAGGCCGGCGGTAAGAGTTTATCATGGAATATTGCTGCCGGATTGTATCCGAACCCGAGGAAGAATCATCGCCATCCTCTGATGCAGACTCGTCTTCTTCGCGATCTCGTGCAATAGCCTCTTCTGCTATACCTTGTGACTGAGTGAAACCCTCCATCTGAGACGCGACATCGTTTGCGAAATCATTGACGGAATGTTCTGCTGGTATCGTTGGTGGGGCCATTGCTGACGGGTTTGAAGCGCGAATTTAAGATCAGATGCGCCACCCACTCATAAATATGTTGGTGAAAGAAGAACGCAGAGATATAGAGGGCAGGACTACCAGAAAGTCAAAGAGTGGGGAATGACTGATATGGGCCTCGCATATGACCATTGTATTGGCTGACAGAATTCGTAGGCATGGTCTAATGCGGCAGCTGCAAGCGAAAATAGTGTTAGCTTCCGCCCTGGCTTAGATACATGACAAGCGGCAGTAAAGGGCGCACGTCGTGACTCTAACCTGCACGATTATGACAATTCGGCGGTTGCGGCAGGTTGAAGGCCGGCTGATGTTTGCAGGATATCGTCGGCTGAGGCTGATTTTCGTGACCTAGCGCGCGTGCGCACAGTCAATCAAAGGTGGAATGCCTCATCGGCTCGTACTACGCCGGACCCCGATCACGTCACCGAATATTCTCAATGTTAAGCGTCAAACGAAAGGCACGATATGTAAAGTGGCTTTTTTTTCGAACACGACGACGACAAAGGTCCGGAGTAAATTAGAAGTAGTCACAAGTCATTACTAGTCTTGTGGAATGATTGCTAAGGGGTATGATGTGCCGCAAAAATAACTCTAAACAACGACTCTTCGCAAACCTTCAGTGCCACCAAGTATCCTCCTTCCGGTAATAGCATCTCTTCCTTTACCACTTTCCCATCTTCCCTCTCTGCTTCCCTCTTCCCTACCCCAGCCCTCATCTTCCGCTTCTCCATCATCACCCGTTCGAAACCCTGCAGCACCCTCCATGAAGGCGACCTGGCGGTCGTGATCACCCCCAACCCATCTGTGTATGCAAGTATAGCAATAGACATATCCCGTAGGTGAGGCTGTGGGTGTTACGATGGGTGTTACGCAGATGGGACATAACGTTGATGATGGTGGTAAGGGTACAGTGAGGATTGGGAGGAGAGTGGTTGAGGATATTGGAGGGTCGATGCGTTGAGGTTGGTCCGACAAAGACGATGTCGGACGTGCCTTCTCGGAAGACTCTCCCTGTTTCGAAGGTTGCTGCTTCGCGGATGGCGGTAACGAAGGTAATATTGGCGGTGGCAGGTCGATGTTCTCTGCGGCTTTCCTCGATAGCTGTCGGGCGAAGTCTGAAGCATGCCACCATTCTAGGAACTTGAGCGCGAAGATACTGGTTGGAAGAAGAATCTTCAGCGAACTCAACAAGCGCGGCTCTATGCTCCTCGCAATGTTTCGTGGCGAGAAGATAGATCCGCCTTCTCCAGGCCGCGCCGGGCCAACCTTCCTCGGCGCCGTCGCAATCTCAATCGCCCTGTGATCCGCCTCTCCCAGTCTTCGTATACGCGAGCCGATGACCCACATGAATGGCGAATGATACTTGGTCCCATCAAAGAGGTAGGCCATGTTGAAGGCCAGCAAGGAGAAGTAGTAGGCGGCATTGACACTCGGGTATATGTTGCGTAGAAACCACTTGTAGTAGTGCATCAGCCTCTCTTTCACGCTGGCCCCTGCTCTTAATCCTTCTCTGTCACGGTTGTACCCGGGCCCCAAAAGGTTGGCATGCGCAGCGTGGACATCGTAGCCCTCGTCGAACTTCCTCTTCAGCCATGGGAGGCCGACCAGGACGGCGAGATTCTTCCATATATCGCCACTGCCCAGCTTTACAGCCTCTCGTACGCTGTCCGATGCGCCCAATTGTGCGCGCGGTATCTCACCTCCTCGCACTTTCAACACCCGGGCGCGCTTCAGCCCGTAGAAGTTCTCGGTGAATGATCCGCCGTATGTGCGAAGGAAGTGGCGCTCCACGAGCAGCATCAGCAGCGCGTAGACTTCATCGAAGGAATTGAGTATGGGGAGCAGGTAGCGTGGATATCGGGGTGTTGTGATGGCGAGGAGGTAGCGCAGCGACGGGGGCAGGAGCGATGCGAGCTGTTGCTCCGAGAGGAGTTCGAAGAGCGAGGGCTTGAGGTCGTCTATGCCATGCTGGAGGGCGGGGAGGAACTCCATGTCGGCCTGTGAGAGGGACTGGGAGATCGGATGATCATGGGGTTGGGGTTGATGAGTGTTGTGGCACCGTCGGCTTCGCGATAGTTGATGCGGCAGGTACGCGCAGCCGAGGCAGGAGCGCTCGGGGCTAGCCGTCACCTCCGCGTCCGCTCGACGCGTGAGCTCCTTCCTACGTCACATGCTCCCCAGGCGGCAACTGACACCACTGCGCTTCAGTCATAGCAAATGTAGCAGCAAGACGCCCTCGTATACAACAATCTACTCCGCCACGATGTATTCAGACGACCCAAGATGTACCGAACTCGCGTATCCCGACCTGGTCAACTTTGGCGTCTCCGTGTAAGCCTGCCCTGTTCGTCGCATGTCAGCACAGCTAATCACCGTCGCGTAGCTTCATAGTCCTCGGAATACTCGTATCCTACCTTCCACAGCACTATAAGATCATATCGCGTCGGTCATCGCGTGGTCTGAGCCCCATGTTTGTCCTCCTAGGGACTGTGTCGGGAACCGCTAGCATCGCGAACATTCTGACCCTACCGGAAAGCACGAGGGACATGGGATGTTGTAAGGAGATTGGAAGCTTTCCATGCGCCGCAGCTATGCTCGGGATAGTACAGATCGGGGTGCAGTGGAGTTGTTTCTTCTTCATGTACGGGACTCTCAACCGTCCAGCGTACTAGACACTAACAACTAACAGCATGCTGCTCTTCCTCATCTTCTTCCCTCGAGCCACTTCACCAGCTATAGAAGAAGAACAAGATACCGACATGCCCACATGGAAAGAGGCCGTCCTCGTCCTAGGTGTTTCACTCGCCTTCTTCGTCGTCGCATTCATCGGCTCCGTCGTTTTCGTATACGCGCTCCCTTCACACGTTCGCGCATGGGCAAACTTCCTCGGCTTGCTTGCTACCGTCCTTGCCGCTATACAATACATACCACAGATCCTCATGACTTGGAGACTACAGGAAACCGGGAGTCTATCCATCCCTATGATGTGCATTCAGACACCGGGGAGCTTCGTCTTTGCCGCAAGTCTATATGCGAGGCTAGGACCTGGAGGCTGGAGTGCTTGGGGCTTGTTCATCTTTACGGGCATCCTTCAAGGTTTCCTACTCGCTATGGGGTTGTCTTTCGTTCTGAGAGATAGAAAGAAGCAGAGAGACCAGCAGCTTGCTGATGCCGATGGGAGCGGCGTTGCTGGTGATAGTGAGCGAGCGCCATTGCTGCATGGTGAAAGATGACATCTTGATCCTTGATACCACTGATATCCAATCGCGTAATAATTCTAATACTTTCGCATTTCTCTTCGATACAGACTTCTTACCGAGTACGCTTCCTTACATTTACTCTCTTCACGGGCTTGGAAGCGCCCAGAGACGGACCCTGACATCGAGGTACTCGCACCCTTCGCGAGCTATATATGCTGGCGTTGCCTCACTCAAGTCAAGAAAAGACACAACATTCTTCGCAACTGTGGGATCCAACTCAGCCGCATGAACTCACCAAAAGCATTCCAGTCGCAGTTTTCTGTTATTATGGATCACAGTCCCGGATTCATATTCAGTTCGCCGCTCGGACACGCCGATACCACCAATACCCAGGAGCCATGACACGGAACGTACTCATCGGTGAAGCTTGCATCGCTTTCAATCGGTCAACCAGACACCGTTCGGATATATCGACTTCTCTGGTCACCTTGCGATAGAAGAGACAGGATTCGTGACGATGGTAACCTTCCCGCCAAGCCAGTCTATCGCCCTTTGGGCAGGTATCAATGTCTGCCCCTTGGCAACTTGGCAAAGACCGATCTACTCTCTTGTGACCTTCTTTTCCGGACACAGCACCTGCAAGACGATGATAAGAGTGGGCCAGGCACGGTGTTCCGCGCTCAAACAAGCTGCATTTACCCAGGAGACCGGAACGTCCAGTGGCGGGAAACATGCGTATATGAGTTCGGCGCCGCCACCTAAACATGGGCGACGTTACTCGCACGCTCGTCACATCTGGATCCTGGAGAAGCTAGCCGATTAAAGTGACAACATGAAGGTTTCCAGTGCTATCGTCCTCGCGGGCGCTGCGCAAGCATTCGCTGCTGTGCGACCCCGGCCTATGGTCTCATCTGGACCAATCCAGGCTGAGATCAAGACTGAGAAGTACGGACGTCTATTCGTTGATTTGACGACACACTGACTTTTCTAGGTTGATGGGTAACCTCAAAGCTTTTGACTCTATCGCAAAAGCAAATGGCGGCAACCGTGCTTTCGGTCTTCCGGGCTACGCTGCATCTGTTGACTACATGCTCGCCAAAACCCAGAACACACACTTCAAGACATGGACTCAGGATTTCCCGGCTCTTTTCAACAAGATTGAGTCAATTGAATTCAGTGTGAGCAACAGCTCTTACCGTGTCATTGGATTGTCCTACTCGCCATCGACCACCCCGGAAGGATTGACGCTTCCGCTTGTTCTGGGTGCTTCTGGACCTGAAGGTTGCACAAACGAAGCCTATGACAACCTTGATGTTGAGGGCAAGATCGTTTTGGTGCAAAGAGGGGCCTGCCCTGATGGTACTACCCTCGCTGGGCGCATGAAGCCTGCCGCTGCCGCTGGTGCCTCTGCAGTAATCATCTACGCAAGCGACACCGCGAATGTTACCGGTGGCACGTTGTCCAACCCTAACCCCGAATACGTGTCAACCGGCTACATCAACCTCGCCGACGCTGAACCCCTCGTCGCACGCCTCCAGGCCGGCGAATCTGTCGAAGCGTACTTCCAGCAAACCCAAACCGTGGAAACACGCATGACACAGAACGTCTTCACCGAGACCAAAGACGGTGACCCAACTAACGTCATTATGCTCGGTGCGCATCTTGACAGTGTACAAGCCGGCGCTGGTATCAACGACGACGGCTCAGGCAGCACACTCATCCTCGAGATTGCTAAGGCGCTCAGGAGATTCAACGTCAAAAACAAGGTCCGATTCGCATGGTGGGGCGCGGAGGAGAACGGCCTTCTTGGATCCAAGTACTACACGCAGAACTTGAACGCCACAGAAGCCAACAACATCCTCACTTACCTCAACTTCGACATGGTTTCCCGCGGCTACTTTGGTGTCTTCGATGGCGATGGCAGCACTTTCAACCTCACGGGTGCGCCGGGATCGGCAGCCATTGAGAAGCTCTTCGTCGAGCATTTCCAGAAGGAGGGTGTAAACGTGACAGCCGCACGCTTCACCGGTGGAAGTGACTACCAATCTTTCATGAACATTGGGAAGCCTGTTGGAGGCCTCCACACTGGAACTGGTGTCGAGCAAGATCCTTGCTACCACCAAGCTTGCGACACCATTGACAACCCCAACCCGGAGACACTATTCATAAACGCCAAGGTAAGCACCAAGAAACCAGATTACACAGTGAGAACACATGCTAACAAACATAGGCTGCTGCACACGTACTTTCCATCCTTGCTACCAGGGGTGAGCAGATCATCCCCAAGAGCCCAGTAAACGCTAGCATGATCACTGAGCGTGGTATCATCGGTGTTGAGCCGAGATGGACGCTGCCTGCGGAAGGAGAAATGCACCTTGCTACTTGCGGACATGAGGTCTAATCGTCTAGATCGAAAGACGTGTATATAGCAAGGGTCACAGTCAAGGCCACAAAAAGATCATGAAATGAACTGAATGAACATCAATCGTGCCACTCATTAGGTTCCTAGATACTCCTGTTCCGGTCGGCTTTAAACTCATAGTTGTGACAAACGAGATGGTATTGTGTTACGCTGTATTCTGCCTCTCCCTCTGAAACCACACGTTCACCCTCTCTTTCCGCCCACTTTCGCAAACATCCTAGACATGAGACTCTGTTTATTCCGCTCGTGATGGTTCAAGTACTTTGCCTCAACAACACAGAGATTTAGAGCGACCGCTCTCTTCGCCACCGCCGTAGCTTCGACAAGGAGATGCTGCCCCTTTATTGCGGGTGGTTGACTTTGTGGCAGTGTCTCGTAGCGCGTGCTCCTGACCGAGCTAACGGAGCAAGCTGTGTCGTGGGTCATCTGCGACCGGCGTTTGGTTGCTTTTGTACTTTTTCTGTGGTTTCTCTGCCCTGCGATAGGCATGGGCTTCTCGGTGGGTACGACGGCGCCACATCGTGCGTGCTTGTATGCGGTAGGTAGCTCTATTTTCGGTGGGTATTGAGACTCCGAGTCTGGTGTTGTTGCGTCCGCGTGACTGCACACTGCACGGCTGATGGATGACTTGCGTTCTGCAACCAGCTCATACATTGCTCTTGAACTTTCATGCGACCGTTCTTTCCTCTTCTTGGGTTGCCTCTCTTTTGGCGTAGGAACCTGGAATATGAGTTCAGGCGTGATCTCGGAAGGCGCGTTTACTCTGGGCTCAAGGTCGGATGACACGAGTTCTTTACTGGTCCGTGTCTTTGATCCGGCTATTCCCGAAAACCTTGCGCTGTCGCTGCGGTGTACATGAGGTGCTGAAGGGTCGAGGTCGTCGTCCTGGTCTTCATGGGGAGCAATGGTCATTGCATCCTCGTTGAGATCGATCGACGATCCGACTACCGAGTATATGCTTTCGTCTCCATCGTAATCCTGGTAATACCGTTCCTGGACCCTGATATCAGGAGTGTTATCGCCCACACATGTATCTGCTTCAGACATCGCGTCGTCCAGCTCATCCTCACGATACAATAGCATGTTGCTCTCGTATCTGACACATTGCCTGATCTTGTCTCTCAGTTGGTCCTCGAAGTATACTTCGTCACCTTCACCATCTTTTCCTTTCATGGGACAAAGATCCAACAATCCATTTCTCTCTGCCAATTGCGCCTTGAAATACCCTCCGTGCCCATACCAGCCTTCCACCGTTGCTCTTATCGCTGCAGGGCACTCATAACCTATACCCCATCCTGTGTGGGTGAGCACATCGTATAGATACTGGCGCACGACAGTGAATCCATCGTTCTCGTCCGGCAAGGCGTGTGCGGGCGTATCATCGCGGGTATCCAAGCGTATAAAACTGTCAGAAGAAGGTACTTGGAAAAGACTCCAGCTCAAGGCTCGATATCGGTCTCGCGCAAGCTTTTGGGTCTTGACAAGACTGATCGGGGTGATGGGATCCGAGGATGGGCAGGGCTCGGGGTGGCGCATTGTGGCGGCGGTAATCTATCGAGGCAGGAACTTGTGTAGCGGCGATCCAGGCCCTAGAAGGTGTATATCTATGGGCTGAAGTGGCAATTTCGAGACTACCAGTTTAGAGGTCAAGGGACGTAGCGTAAGTTTGATTCTTGCAACAACAATTTAATGGAGAGGACACATTCAGGCAGACGCTGAATTACAGTGGGAGTTAATGTGTGTTTCGTTTAGCTGCTTAAGTTTGTCACATTAAAACTCTAATGTGGTCGTACCAAAGTGATGTTGGTAAATTAAATTTTCTGGGTCGTGTATGGTCCCAGTGGAACCAATCATGGGCTTCCGCAATCTCATGGCCGTGAACGCTGGGAGCGGGTTTCAGCAATTCTCCAGAAAATGGTACCATCATATACTCCTCGAATATCGGCCTTGCGCATCCTTCCGTCCTGTGGCCATAGCAAAATGTACATGGCTATCCCTGTTAAATGTCAGTATCGTATGCTCAGTCCGTGAGGTGATGAGCCGCAACTCACATTCTAAGGCACCCGCAAACCATCCGAAGAAATCATTCGCGCAACATTGGCCTGCCCAAACGTCGTATAGATCTCGCCCGGTCAGGTAGTCCTTGCCCCCCGCATATTTCTCGAATATCGCATCGAAGCGTCGCGTATCCAGCTCGGCATCTAAGTCGTACGCACCAGTGGTGCTTCCATGTCTGTTGCGGTTGACATTGTCAAGGTAGATGGCAAAGAGCGGGTGCGGCAGGAAAGAACTCTGGGTGCTGTAAGATGAGCACACAGCCATGGTAACCGCTGCCCATAGACATAACGCGATGTTGAAGCCGAGTTTACGGAAGCCAATGAATATGTCCCATGGGTAGATCACTCCGTCCTGATCGGCGTCCCAGAAGTCGCAATGCCGGCGTAGCGCACTTCGTCGAGTGTTGGGTATGCTCCGAACGTTACGATGCGTGATCACTTTCGTGTTCCTTCTCGTTCCTATGCTTTGCTTGTCATCGTAGGATTGGGGTGTAGCATTAGCCTCGCCGGTTCCTCTGGAGGTGCCGTTGCATATATCCCCAACTCCAGCTAGCCAGTTGATCGTCTTGAACGCGATGACATCTTCGTGTTCATCTACGAAAGTCTTAGTAGAAGCCGACAGCGACTGGTCCCGAGACTTGTCATCACCATCTTCCGCACTAATGACTTCTGGAAGTTCGGGGCCGCTAGTTGCCGGTTTGTTGCTTGTGAAGTTGAAAGTTGCCTTGGCGGAGAAGATATTGAGCTGGACAGTCATGGTGTAGTCGACTTGTAGGCAGGGACGTTAACGATCTAGGATCGCGCAAGCAAAAGAAGCAGAAGACATGCGGCTCTTGTTTGCTTCTCAAGGTAACATGTCGCAAGTACCTTGCCTCCTGCGAATTACCATCATCTGACGTATGTCTTGGCGTTCAATTTGGGATGCGATACCCATCCGTTCTTACCCTTTGTGTGACCCTTGCATCCTTCTGAGGCTGGACCTTGTTTCGCTCGTCGTCCACCGCCTGCACCGTCTCTCTTCATCTTTATCGCTACGTAAGCCCAGGGTTGGCGCACACCATTCAAGCAGATGTTTGTGGCGTCGCTTCGGTAGAGACGCGTGTTTGTGGCGTGGCAAAGACGCGTCTCAATGGATTGGAGACGTCTTAAGGGTTCGCTGCACATAATTCATACGTCGACTAGCGACATTACACCGACTCGATGCAAGAGCACGCGATGGGGGATCGAAGGAATTCAGACGTTGTAGCATTGGGCGCAGACGATGCTTACCGAGAGCATGTGGATGGTCAGCTTGTCCACAAGCTCCGCGTTCTGGCTAAGCCCCGCTCCACACTTCTGCGACCCCGCTCGCCACACACTAGAATGATGAACTTTGGGCATTAGTCCGTATAACTCTGATGGGCTGCTGATGCAGTGTGCGCTCAAGATTATTTATTCTACTTTTGACAAATCTGTCATCAAACACCAGAAACACGGTTGTGTAGTGTACGTCTCCTCCAACCCTCTTCTCAAGAAGTCTGTCTAACCGCCAATACAGGTAGTGGTTATCACTCCAGATTTTGACTTCTATCAAACTTTCTGGTAACCCCGGTTCGGTATGTCTGATCGCATTCCGCTGTTCAATGTCATATTCTAACATCTTAACAGAACCCGGGCACGACCTCAGCAATATCTTTTTTTGCTCTCGCGTTCGATTCTCATGTGGGGCAAACCACGAACATCTTTTTGCTGCTTAGCTGTGACACCCCTTGCCACCCTCTCAAATCTTTGTTTCCTGTGAATTTTGATCTTGATAAATCGCTTCGTTAATGCGGGTGATATGACAATGACTCTATATGTAGCAAGTGCAACACAGTCAGAGTATTCGCACTTTTTGAGTGAAACTGTGTAACAAATACACCAATAGCTATCATACATTCACTTGTCAAAGAAATCCGACCTCATTGTGTTTTCCATAGCTGCTGGAAAGATGGTTCAATTACTGGGCACGTGCGAAAGAATACAAGCATTACGGCCAACTCATGAAACACAAAACCACCCTCAAATCAGCGCAGCCTCATGACCAAGACAATAATCGTCGCTCTCGTCCTGCGGGTCCATAAGTCATTGTCCTCGCACAGTGCCACGTCGGAGGTGTGTTCCTTCCCTTCCTAGGAGAGGCGCTCTATCGCTGGACGGCCGGTATACGCAAACGATCCTCTCTCTTCTGAACATAGCCCAGATTCGATCTCGTAGGCGTCTCCTGTAGCCCCTGCGACCCTTCGACTCCGCTATGGTCGTGACTGCAGATGGATCAGAGGTGATACACCGTGGGCCTCCCAATGGTGCAGGTGATGGCTGCGTCTCAGAGACGGTAGCACTGTATTCGTATCGGGCGTCCTCGAAGGGATTCAATTGTGCCGGTGGATGAGGAGTCGACGAAGAGCTTTTGCCTGTTATCTCGGCCGGTCCTGTAGGCATGTATACTCCAGAATCTTCTCGCGGGTAGATATAATGGCGTCTCCTAGGCAATGCCTCGTTTGACGTGGCTGGAAGACATGCTGGACGGTCGTCGCGTTCGACGGGGAGACGTTTCCCGGTACCCCGCACAAATCCAAGGAAAGAACGGGCGGAATTGCGATCTGAAGACATGGCGGGATCTCTTACGGCGGAGTGATCGTATCGAGTCAAGTTGAACACGAAGGCGGATTGGAGGGAATTGTTTTGAGCGGACCTAGCGTTGTTAGCATCGAATTGTGGGCGTGAACACCGGTACATACACAGTATTGATGCAAGAGAGCAATGTTGATAAGCTGTTGAAGCGGTATGATGTGGTGTGACGAATGTGATGATAGAATGTTGGGAGGCGACCTAAATGATGCCTGGACGATACTCACCCATGTCGACATTAGAAGAAAGTCCGTCCCATGCGGAGGCATCGCG